TGCACTTTGAACTCTTCTGCATTCTCAAGCTGTGGGCTGAAAGCTTTTGAGATAGACAGAGAGCCTGAAAAATTCTTTCCCCACCCACCCACCCACCCGGGGATGTCTAAGGCGCGCTCACTCGTGTACGGTGATGCGTGACCTTGGAGGCCCTGGGAGGGCTTTTGGATTCTCCCGACTTGTGGCATTGCCATCGGAAGAAAAAAGGAACAATCGCGCCCAAGTGAATAAGTTGAGCATTCGTCTATTCTGTGGAATGAGACCACTAGGGTGCTTTGTTTATCCGCATGGGATTCAACTTTTATATTCGTCAGATGCTATACACGTACATTGGGATTTATACTTATATCCGAAAAGTTGTTGTGGCTATAAAAAGTAGGTCAGACAACGCTGAAATGTGGCAAGTGGATCAGCGTTAATTTTGTAGAAATGGAGAAGCCCTCAGCGAAGTGGCTACAGTGCAGCCGTTGTTTTCAGGAGTAAAGAGCGGGGTGACATTGTTGTTGGCCGGTTTGTGTGTGTGTGTGTGTGTGTGTGTGTGTGCAGTACAATCCCTTTGTACCAGCTCTCTCTCTTGCAATTTGCAGTTTTGGCCCCACGCCCTAAACATGGCAAACGCAGCGGATAGTCAGCCTTTCTTCGAGCAACATGCTCGCAAGATCGGGATGGAGCAGCAACTCTTGGACAAATTCATAGCTGGAGGGGTCAAGACGGTGTCCATGGCAGCCTATGCCGCCACTCAACCGGGTCAACCTCTCACAGACAGGGAGGTCTCCACTCTATGTACGAGTCTGGGGCAGAACAACCCCACTCTTGCACAAATGACGGTCGTCAAGAGGCTCCTGTTCGAGTGCCAGACCATGAGTCTGGCAAACTTGAAGGCCACCGTGGAACAGCAGCCGGACTCAGTTCTACGTAAGCTGCCAGGAGCTGAGAGAGCCCAGCGCCTGGAATTGCAGGCTCAAAGGCTGGGCGGACTCTCGATTGAGCATGACTTGCAGCCCGCCTTTTCAGTCTATGATGCTGTGTCGACACAGGTAGAGCAAGGGTCGCTGAAATACCTTCACCCGAGCAAGATCCCCACGCGTCGCCAGGAATTGGCGCAAGGCAAGCCAGCCAAGGAACTTGTGTTGGACGCTTCGGGGGACGGCCTCTCGGTTCAGGACAAATCCTCTAAAGTCGAGGCCCAGTTAGGGTCAGACATGGCGACTTACAGGGCGTTGCAAAGAAGGGGTCTGGCCTACGACCTCGTTGGAGTTTTGAGTTTCAAGGTGCACAAGAAATGGCTTCAGAAGGCCTTTGCTACCTTGCAGACCCCAGCGCCCCCAGGCTTCAACCGTCCGACGCTGCAGCAGGTCCTGCGAGCAGATCGGGCCTTGTGGATGGAGCTTGGCAGCAAACAGCCGACCCTGACAAGGGCAGCGGCGAACGCGCCGCTCGCGGACGCCCGGTGCTTAGATCAAGTCTTCCTGGAAGCCACCAACACGGTTGCAGTCAATTTTCACTTCATGCTGACACCTCGTGCGGAAGGGTTCACAGATAAAGGCGGCAAAGGCGCGGGCAAGGGCCCCAAGCGTTGGGGCGATGGAAAGGGGTATGGGCAATGGAAATATCAGAGGACCGACAAAGGGGACAAGGGCCAGGGAGGCAAATCAGGTTTCAAGGGAGCCCGCCTCCCCACGAAGGGCAAATTAAAGGGCGGCTTTCCGAATAAGTCCCTCGTCTTGCAAGGAGGCAAGGGTGAGACCCCCATGCCGGCCGCCTTGCGAGGCGGCGTGCCGAACGACGAGCATGGAGATCCTCTTTGTTTTGGCTTCAACCTAGGACAGTGCAAGGATGCTCCATTGGGGGGCAGATGCGCACGGGGCAGACATGTATGTTGTCACCCAGGTTGCTTCCAGAAGCATCCCTTTTCTGGCCAGGCAGCCTGAAAGAACGCCCCGTTGCAAGGGACGTCGAATGACAGCGCTTCCGCGCTGGACCAGGCGTCCCGCGCTGCTCCGACTGCGCGTCGCGCACAAGCGTGCGCGGAGAGAGCGGCAACAGCCATTTTTGTGAACAAGACAATTTTCCCGGACAGGCCCAAAGAGAGCTGCAAGGAGTTGCATCCTGCTGCTGTTGCAAAAGGGCAAGAGAATCAGCCCCCGCTCCAACGGGCGGCTGAACCAATCCCACAGTTTTCCAAGCCTTCCTCTGAGGCCTACGCATTTCCACCTCAGGCGAGTCATTCTGGCGCGCAGAGGTCTGGACAAGCGCAATGTACTGCGCCCCAGACCATACAGGAGTGTTGGGTTTTGGAGATTTTCGCAGGGTCAGCCGGGATTACCTCGGCGGCTGCTTCAGCCGGCCTCAGGCGGTCGGTCGGAGTGGATAACGTTCGCATGCCGAGGCGCAAGGGCAAGATAATACAGCTGGACTTGCTCCTGCTGTCGCACCAAGGTCTGCTGTGGAAATGGCTGGGCTCCCCAGGACTGGCAGCCGTATGGCTGGCGCCGCCCTGCGGCACATCCAGCAGGGCCAAGGAAATCCCGCTTCCGTGGGAGGACAAGCCGCATCCCTTGAGGTCAGTGGAGTACCCGGAAGGGCTTCCAGGCCTTGGCCCAAGTGATGCAGAAAGGGTGGCAAAGGCTAACGAGCTTTACCGGCTCACGGCCCGAATCTGGGACTTCTGCTGCGAAAATGGCATTGTGGTAATCATAGAGAACCCCTATCGCAGTTTCTTCTGGCATTGCAGCGCCATTGAACACATCCTGAGGAGTGAACAGGCGATCGTGGTCCAGTGCGACTTTTGCATGATGGGAGGTTCGAGATTAAAGCGGACGGCCTTGCTGTGTAACAACGACCTCATCACAGGCCTGGCTGTCACGTGTGATGGATCCCATGAGCATCCCTGGGACGTGCATGAGGAAGTTCTCGCAACAAAGCTTGAGAGCGCGTACCCGCACCAGTTTTGTAAGCACTTCGTTTCCCTGCTGTTGCAGCATCTGACACAGAAGGGTTGTCGGGATGGCCTTAATCTCTTGGAGGGAGATCCCGCAAACTCCTCAGGAGCCAGGGTGGTAACGACACAGGCGAAGACCAAAAAGGCTGCATCTTTTCAGGTCATCACCGAATTCTGCCGACGAACCAGATGGACAGTGCCCGGCCAAGTCCGCAGCACTCTCCAAACTACACAGTGGTTGGGACCGGCCAAGATCCCGGGCTTCAAGGCGCCAGGAGCCCCGGCGTTGAGAGTGACACCCCTACTGTCTTCTGCGACGGACGTTCTGGTGGAGGTCCCGTGGAACCCACAGGAATTTGTGGCGAAAGCCCGACTGGCCGGCCACCCCCGACACCTGTGCCTCGGGGTGCCACCCGCCCTCAGGAAGGCAATTTTGGCGTGCTCTAAACAGCCCGCAGCCAAGGTGATTGAGACTCGAGCCGCGCAGTCACGAAGATGGCTCCAGCGAGCCCAGGAGCTGCAGCTAGCCGAAAACGACTTCAAAGCCAAGCTGCCCGAGCTCTTCAAGGAGATGCTAGAAGCGTCCCACTACGCCGACAAGGCAGTGGCAGACGACCTGGCACAGGGTTTCGATCTTGTAGGGCATTTGGACCTCCCGGCAGGCTGGTCCACCGACTTTCGTCCAGCATTCCTTTCCCTGAAGGACCTGTCCCAATTGACGCAGGAGACCAACCACCAGGTCATCAAGGAAGTTGAGGACTCATCTCAGTTTCTTGAAGAACTGTGGCAGAAAAGTCTCGATGAAGTATCGAAAGGCTGGTCGGAAGGACCGTTCCGAGAACAGGACCTGCCACAAGGAGCTGTAATCAGCAAACGTTTTGCAATCCAGCAAGGGAGCAAGGTGAGGCCGATCGACGACCTGTCCCAGAGCCACATCAACGAGGCATTTGGGAGTATGGGGAAGATCGAGTTGCATGATGTCGAGACAATTGCAGCCTCAGCCATCTTGTTCCTGAGGCACGCAGGACAAGGACTGCTTGGGAAAACCATTGACCTGAAATCAGCATATAGGCAGCTGCCACTGTCCGAAGAGGCACTCAACATGGCCTATGTGGCTGTCAAGGACCCCAGCTCGGGGGAGGTTCGCTTCTTCAGGCTTCTTTGCCTTCCATTTGGAGCCGTGGCGGCGGTCCACGCGTTCATCAGGGTCAGCTTGGCTATTTGTCATATAGGAAACACGTTTTGGCACTTGCCTTGGAGCTCGTTTTTCGATGACTTCACGCTGTTGTCCACACGACAGCTGGCCCCTAGCGCAGAGGCCAGTGCATGTTTTCTGCTAGACTTGCTCGGCTTTGAGTTTTATGTCAGGAGACGGAACCAAGCCTCCCTTTGCGCAGCACTGCAGGGGCTACGACATTACATAGCCGAAGCGTCGCCGAGGACGGTGCGAGCCCAGACCTCAGAGACGGTGTATGCTTTTACGGACGCCTCGCAAGAAGGACTCCAAGGCCTCGAAATGGGTCTGGGAGCAGTCCTGTTTAATCAGGAGGGGCAAATCCTGTGCTGGTTTGGCATTGTGTTGCCGCATGACCTTGCTGAGAAACTCATGCAAGGAAAGTCCAAAGTCATCAACGAGCTCGAGAGCATAGCTGTTCTCCTGCTCTTCATTCTAGCCCGAGAATTTCTCCGGGGAAAACACGTGATGTGCTACTTAGACAATGAAGCGGCGCGCATAACGCTCCTCAAGCTGACCAGCGATTCAGAGGCCTTGACCCTCTTGAGCAATGCTTGCGCATTGTTGGAACAGGAGCTCGAGATGATTCCGTTCTACGCTCGGGTACCGAGCAAATCCAACGTGGCGGATGCCCCATCCCGCCTTGACTTCACAGGGTTGCCACACAATTGCAGGTTCCAAGATCAGGTGCTTCTCGCGGAGATGGCCAAGCTGGTGAACTCGCTCGTCGGGCGCTGTGCCTGACACTCCCATGACCAAGGAAGGGACTTGCGTTCTCCCCGACCAAGAGAGGGAGCTTTCGTTTCTCACACACCTGCAGAGGACAGATCTCGGATGGAAGCAGACATGGCAAATCCCCTTCCTTGGAAAAGATACCAATGCATAAGCTTCAGTCTTGTTAGCGTGAGGGTGCACGTCATTGCAGTCTGTGCATGTGAATTGCATCGCTGTGCATGGGACACAAATGAACAAGCATGGCATCGATGGATTGTCCTGTATTTTTGGCCAGGAAATGTTGTCATACATTTGAAACATTTTTGTTTGGAAAATAAAATTTAAAAGTTTGGTCATTAGATCGCGCCGGAAAGACTAAATCAGAAGCACGGAAAGCTCCAAATCAGCACCGCGGAAGCTCGAAACGGACCTTTCCTTGAAGCCTATTCTGCGCCGCAAGAAGCTACGCCCCCTCACCCTAAAACCCTAAGCCCTAAGCCCCACAAACTCACAAGGGTCCGTTTCGAGCTTCTTGGAGCTTTCCATGTTTTCTGGTTTGGTGCTTCCGGCGCAACCTAATGACAAACTAGGGCTCTTTTAGACATCTCGTGGCTACTGCGGCAGGACGTGTCCGCGTCGAGCTTTGTTTTCTGATTCAGCCGGTGCCGCGCAGTCGTGCCTGGCGTTTTCCGACTCAGCGCGGGGTGTTTTCCGACTCTGTGTTTTCCGATTCACGTTTTCTGATTCGCACCTCAGCCGATGAGCCCCTGTATTAAATTGTATTTCAGACTGACAATATGTGGTTTTTTTTAACGGCCAACAACAGAACTTAGTTTCAAGACCTACAATGACATTGTAAAAATACAAGACAACAATGACTAAGTCCAGAGTGGGAATTTGTTTAACCAATATTCAAATACGGGCCAAGTTAATTACATGCAATATGAACATTCTCAAGTCTAAACTATTGACTTCTCAGTTTGAATTTTGAGAAGTCAATTACTGTATCTAATTCCATTAATGTTGATAGTTTCACTTGTTTGTGTAATGAAGGGTCCATGAAATTGATTAACATATTTCGAAAAAGGGACTTTCTTAATCATGTTTTGGGCAACACAATTAGGGTTTGAGATGATCTAATTGGCTGTTAATTCACATAGTTCAACCTAGCTTCGTTATTAAATGAATTTGCGATATTTGCTTCGCGAATTTAACTTGACTAATTTCCAAAACTCGGTTGAAATAGTACGTTCTTAACCAATGATATTTCTCCAGTTGTTTTTTTAAGGGCTAGAAACTTTATTTTAATATTTTTCAGTCAAAAAGTTCTTCAATTAGATTTAACTTGTTTAATGACTATCCTTGATCCTTAGCTGAAGTTAATTAACTAAACTAGAGTTGAAATCTGCAGAGGGTAATTGTCAACGGACCCCCGGATTCCAGGTTCCATATTCTAGTTTTCCAGATTTGCAAAGGCCAACAATGTTCCCGAGCCTCCAGGCGGCAGTTGGCCCCGCAAGATTCTGGAACCTGGAGTATGGAATCTGGGAATATGGATTTCAAAGCTCTTCAGTTCAAAAATTGTGGTCGGGGGGGGGGCATATGTCTATATGTATATATTAAAAAAATATAGGGAAAGAGTGAGAAGTATGTGACTGGCATGGGGCAAGACCATGTCCAGGCTGCTAAACGGTCGGAATGTATGTGGCTTGTTGGCCAGCGCCACCAGCGAAGGGGGCAGTTCCAAAGTGTCCGCCGGGACGCGAAGGACGGACGGATGCTTTGGCGCTTCACGGATGCGCTGGCCACTGGATAAAAAGACTTCATGCATCTCAGAATATCTCGAACCCCACATACGAATTAAGAAGGTGTTTTTTTCTCATGCCTGACCACAGCCATTTGCAAGAGAAGCGGGACAAGAACCACCGTCACCTCTGTGCTTCCCCCATGGTATCAAGCTGGTGGCCACAAAAAACACGCTGTTTGTCTGATCTTCACATGCACTAAAAAGCCTATCCCCTCGACGGTCCATCTCCAGGATTGTTTTTGCTAAGAACACGAGCACACCAGCCTATGATGGGTCTCTCAGCGTCCGGATTCTCAAATTCTAAGAGAAGTTCACGTCGCAAATCGTGTTTCAACATTTGATGCCTTCAGCCAAATCTCGGCCGTGGTACATGGAAAAACCCTCGCTTGTTTTGGAACGAGGCACCAGCTTTGCAGCGACCACGGCATAGGTGGCATAGAACTCAGACGGACCAATCAGACCTTTTCCAGACGCCTCCCACTTACAACCACCTCAGCGTCCAGGCTACATCCGAAAGCCCTGGGTATCATCTTGCCCGCTGGGCCGACGAAGGAGATCACACCTCCGATAGTACAAAGAAACTTGTGAGCAACGTTGATGTCTGGAAAAAGGAACCTGCCTCCAAAACATGTTTATGCCACGCGTTGGCCATCGCCAACCTGCCCTCTCTGCCCAGCAATTGCCTCCATGAACTGGGCTCGACCAAACACTGGGAATCCGAGAAGTCCTCGTGAACACCCAGCAACTCGGCAGGCGGCCCGCATCCCCGCATGCTCGCGTCCCACGTGTCCCCGCGTCCCGGACAGCATGGTGTACATATGCCTATACCCGAAGTTTATTCATCCGCCTATGCATGCGACAAGAATTCTGTAGTCAAAAAGGTGTGTCCACGATTTTCTTGGAACGGTTTTTTTTGGCAATGCAGTAGTGGATGTGATTGTTGTTTTCATGTCAGTCATGGCATGTCTGTGACATGCATGTGCGGGGACGGCAGCGTGAGAGGGGAGCCCGACTGGTAAAAGAAAAATGAGCATGTGTTGTGCTCATTTTAGGCCAGGCGGCGGAATTCGGTAGATGAGCGATGCGCTTATTTCGTTTTTTGTGCGCTTGTTTGTCCGTATCTTGCAGCCTAAAGTTAGGAAATTTGCCTGCATGCCCAATGGGTGCCTCGCCATGTTGCCACACGTTGCCCACACTTGCCTATATACATTTGCTGACCCCTGCAATGTTGCTGATGATCTGCTGCTCTTGTATGTTCTGAGTTTATGCTATGGGCGTAGAGTAGATGACCAAAATGCTGGTTTGGCATTGTTTTGATAGGTCTTTGCTTGCAGTGTTCGTCTGTATGAACTTCCAAATCGCGTTAATGAACCGACCATCTCAATTGTTCGTGGATGACACGTGATAGCCGGGAGGGCAAGATGCATTGCGGGCCTGTGTTGGGTCCTCTTTTGTATGTCCTCGTCAACAGACCATGATGGATGAAGCTTGCTTGTCACGGTGCCCGGTCATTTTCTGCATTGAGGCTCTGAACTGGGTTGACCAATTCGGAAGGGACTCCTCTCGGAGTAGCAGATACCATGGTGCAGCAGACGGATTCGACATCCAAGGCAGAAGATGACTTGTACATGCGCCTCAAAGAGCTGAAGCGCCAGATGGAGTTTCTGGACATTCAGGAAGAGTACATCAAGGATGAAATGAAAAACCTCAAGCGCGAGATGATTCGTGCGCAGGTTGAGATCAAGCGCGTCCAGTCTGTCCCATTGGTCATAGGTCAATTTTCAGAGATGATTGACCAAAGCCACGGCATAGTGTCTTCGACTGCAGGCTCCAACTACTATGTCCGGATTCTCAGTACACTCAACCGAGAACTGCTGAAGCCGAGCAGTTCAGTAGCTTTGCATCGGCATTCGCATGCCGTGGTCGACATCTTGCCACCTGAGGCAGATAGTACTGTCCAGAGCATGGCTATGTCCGAGAAGCCTGATGTTACCTATGCGGACATTGGTGGTATGGACATTCAAAAGCAGGAAATCAAAGAAGCCGTGGAGTTGCCTTTGACGCACAAGGAGTTATACGCTCAGATCGGGATTGACCCTCCCAGTGGCGTGCTCTTGTATGGCCCGCCTGGTACTGGAAAGACAATGCTTGCAAAAGCTGTCGCGAACCAAACAACAGCCACCTTCATTCGCATGGTGGGTTCGGAGTTCGTGCAGAAGTACCTTGGAGAAGGGCCGCGCATGGTCCGCGATGTGTTTCGCTTAGCTCGTGAAAACGCACCATCCATTGTTTTCATCGATGAGATTGATGCCATTGGCACGAAGCGCTTCGACTCCCAAACAGGTGCCGACCGCGAAGTCCAGCGCATCTTGCTGGAGCTCCTGAATCAAATGGATGGTTTCGATCAGGACACAACCGTGAAGGTCATCATGGCCACAAACCGTGCAGACACATTGGACCCAGCACTACTACGACCGGGCAGATTGGATCGAAAGATCGAGTTCCCGCTGCCCGACAGGCGCCAAAAGCGTTTGATCTTCCAGACTATTACGTCCAAGATGAACCTGAGCGAGGAGGTTGACTTGGAAGATTATGTCTCCAGACCCGAGAAAATCAGCTGTGCTGATATTGCAGCGATCTGCCAGGAGGCAGGTATGCAGGCTGTTCGGCACAATCGCTACGTCATCTTGCCAAAGGACTTTGAAGCTGGTTGGAAGGACCATGCAAAGAAGAAGGATCGCGACTTTGACTTCTATGGCTTCTAGAGCAGAGCCGGCAGCTCTCCAATGGACGTAGACAGTATCCCTTTGTTTCCACAACAAGCAACCTTCGGCACAGCACAGGCAAGATGCAGATCTGTAGCGCGATCCATAAAGGCTGGACTGGAAAAGAAGTGCATTGATCTGCAGCTGTTTGTTCCGTCAAAGTAGTAGATGTGCATGATGGAGAGGTCGCACGCGAGTACACAGTAACAACGTGTTCTTGTCTGTTCATGCCGCCAGGGCAGGCTCAAAACCGCGGCCAGGAGTAAGGACGAGCAAGAGCATGTCTGGGACATGCTTGCTCGAAATCTGATTGTCTTGCTTTTTGCAGTGAACATCCGCACCTTCGATAGTGCTGTCCAGCCCTGAGCTCTAACGGCTCTAACGTCGTCTGAGAGCTTGCGATCCAACGCCACCCCAAGCCCATCCTGCACTGTTGCTCGTGTGCAAGGCTCCCCTTCGGCAACTTGCACATCACTCTTGTCAAGGCTACGACGAGGAGGTTGGCTGGAAGCTAGATTCGCCGACCAGACATGGCCACGAGTTCTTGTCAGGTCGGTGGGTGTGAACAACTGCCAGTCGTGGCCTTCATGTGTTTAGTTCGTGCAGATGCACTTTAGACACTTGCACTGTGCCCGCTGCTTGGGCTCCTTTTCCAAGGCCTGCTCTGTATGTCAGCCACAAGACTGTGTTTTCTCTCCGTGGAACTCCTGGTATGATGCCGGGGGTTGTCCCTGACCAAGCCATCTTGATAAACGTCATGTGCCGAGTGTTGCATGTGCATCCGGCTTTTAGCACGGTGAGCCGACAATCTCGAGGCATTGGCCTTAAGTTCCGGGAGAGATCGAAGTCCACCTCCAACAACGAGCAGCATGATTGCAATTGATTTGCGTGAAGTGTATGAAGTATGTTTGAAGTCTCTTCTCTTTAGATCTGTGTTTTAAAGGACTTGTGACTTGTGAGGTGTGGCAAGCCGTGCAGTGGAGCCCTCCTGGAGTCTCAGTCCTTTGTCCAAGACAAGTGCATTAAGAAGGCCCCGCATGCATGTCGATACATCTTTGCATGCTCTCTTTGCTAGTTTTTGAAGTACAGGGTGAGATCTGACTTGTGCGGACCATGGCATACTTCTTTGTCTCAGTACAGTTTTTGCTTGATGGGCAGGTCACCGACTGCATGTTTGGGGTATGGCTGGGGCCTTGAAAACGATGAAGGTCATGAAGTATGGTCTCTCTTTTATCAGATCCAATGAGGTCTGAGTGGACTGCCTGCCACAGCTCGGCTGATCAGTCGGTGAGAACAAGATCTGTTGTGCAGCAGCCAACTGAGACAGGCTTGGGGGACTCCATGTTGACACAAGCACTCGATTCAAGTCTTGTGTCGCAAATGTCGAAATCTGTGGCACATGTTTAGGGGCGTGGACAGCAGACTAGCACTCGGTTTCGCCCGTCAAAGATTCCGTCCCATGCAGGTAAGCCGTGCGAAGGGCCCACCAAGCTTACGAGGACCATGCCGAGTCCCTAAAAATGCTGTGGCCGCATGAGTCCTTGCAGGCCATGTGGAACCAGCAGCCACCCACAAGCATGCCAGTTCAGCCCGTGGCGAGTGGGCAGCCTAGTCCGTGGTGCCAGATTTAAAAATACTGCATGCTGCACCGTTGACAATGGGTCGAGGAATGGACAAGTTGCAGCTCTTCTTGTGGGGAAGGCCGCCATACCAGGCTGCGGAGAGTTGATCAGGCGGGGTTCGATTGAGTCCTTGCTGTCCTTGCTTGCACTTTTGAAGTGGAGCTCTTTTGCAGGAGGCTCGGCACGGAGGTGAGGTATGCGTTGGTGTGCTGCTAGAGGCCAAGTCAGAAGACATGCTTCGGCTGCTTGTGAGATTTCTCCTCTGTGATTTCCTGTGATTTCTCCTGTGATTGCCAGACGGTGCCTTGCACTCTGCCTCCTTGCGGCCGGAGTGATTGTGAAGTCTCGGCCTGGCCTGGGCCTCGAATCTTGATTTGATTTCGAACTTCCTTTAGATCCACTGGCTTCCTCGCCTTCTCGGACATTTTCAGTGCACGCCTGGGATTTCACCTGTCAGGTCGTCATGGAGCGACTGCGCAGAGGAACCTGTCAAAGCAAGTTTGGGTTTGTGTGGTATGCTTCTGCAAGTGCCAGCCGAAAGATGCAACAGGAGGGGCAAACCCAGCGCATCCGCAGACGAACAGCGTGGATCTCACGCTTGAGCATTGCCTTCGATATTGCCATGACATGAGTTTATAATCACAGCTGAGAAAGCATGCGATCTTTTGGCGATTCGGTTCATTGGCATAAAGAGGCCGATGCAGATTCTTGCAGGCAGGCTGATGAGAGACAGAAGGAAGGAGAACGGTGCTGAACAACCCCAGTCCTGCTCGGGAATCTCAGCAGGTGATCAAACTGCCCACCCGGCATTACTGAAAGTTAACCAGCTCTCAACCAACTTCAACCGATTTCAACCGACTTCAACTGACTCCAATCGGGCCGAAACAAGATGCCGGCAACACTTCTGACTGTGCTGCATTAGACCACCAGTGGCGGTCTCGCAAACCTGCGTGTCAAGCAGAGCTTTGCATTGGTTTGCACTCCTGCATCTACGAATATCTGTGACCATCTGCAAATGACAGTTCTTAAATGTGAATGTGGACTGTTCAGAGTGGTGCGACTTGGTGCAACTCGAGGTTCAGCAAATGCCGGCTGGAGGAGGCCTCGGCTGTCCCACAGAGTTGGTGGTGACGGCCGGCTGCCCCGCAGCACCACCTCAGAACTGCTCTCTCACAGACCGCTCCTCAAAGGAATTCGGGCATGACTTTGCACGCGATTCTTGTTGACTCAAAGGAGTGGACGCCGTGGACGCCGTGCGACAAGACGTGTGATGGAGGCATCCCAGTCTGCATGCCCGCCTGTGTGGATTTCCAGATTGGGCCCGCAGCGCCCTTGTGGGACAGGTCAGTCGTACCGCGAGCGCCAGCTGAACCAGCCCTCTTCTTCTAACGGCTTCTGCACAGCAAGCGTGATGAAGGCAGATCTTGTCATGTCCAAAGCAGCGTTTGCCGTCATCAAGTCATTGACTTATTCATTCCGTCTCGTGGCATCATGCCACACGCGTTTCCGGTCTAAAGGTCGGGATGCGGATCAAAAAAAAAATTATTTAGGATCAAGAAAAAATTTATTTAGGATCAATAAAAAAATTATTTAGGATCAAGAAATAATTATTTCTGTTCTTCTGACGGAGAGAGGGAAGGGGAGGGAGAGTGGGAGAAAAGGCAACTATCCATCGTGATGGAGAGGACCTTATTTTGTGTTCATGTGCAGCAAAAATAAATGTTCTTTTATTTTTGCGGTTTGCCCGAATCTTGCCCGATTTACGAGTTCACTACAACAATCCACGAGTACAGACCATGTTCCAAATTTTTAAACTTCATGTCTGAACATGACTCACGTTCTTTGACATTCCATGTGTTTGAAGCAGTGCGTTGCCTGCATGCAAGGTCTGAGTGGCTCAGACACAGAGTTTCATTTTGGCTCAAGGTCTGAGTGGCTCAGACACAGAGTTTCATTTTTGAATCCTGGGGCCTGGCTTTGTGTAACCGTGTGAGCGCCCAAACAGGTTCATCTTCAACCAGGCTCCTTAACCTTGCCCTTAGGGCCAGTGCAAGCAGCCCCGTGGGGGCTGCGGATGTCCTGAACTCCTCGGCCGTTCATGGGCACGTTGCTTCCTGAGGATTCCACTGCAGAAGAGGCGGAGCGCGCTCATTTGCGCCTAACCTGGGATCACGCCACTGCCATTGGTCGCTTGTCGGATTCTGTTGCCGATTTGCAGTCGCAGGTTGCCGCACAGGACTCGGCCCTAGGCGATCTCCAGGAGCAGGTTCGGATCCTTTTTGCTCAGGTGGGTTCCTTGCAAGAGGAGCGTGTCGGCTTCCTCCGTGCCATCGGCGTGGTTCCCTCTCAGTGGGCTCGTACTTCTCCGTGGACCCTTGTGCATCGTGTCATTCAGGATCTCGGTGGGCGTGTTCGCCACCTGTGGCGGCTGTACGGGCCGCGTCAACCGACGCTTACGCCGCTAGATAGTCTCGATCCTTAACCCCAGGTTTTTCCGCCATGTCCAGCCCTACGTTTGCTGCGTCTGCCGAAGGCTCTGCGTCTGGGGGGGGTTGTGCTTCGACTGACGCGCTCCAAGCCCAAGCGTGCCAGCGTGCGATTGACGAAGCCAGCTTCTCGTCAACTGCCTGTGTCCTCACTTTACCGTGGGAGAAGGGAGTTTTTAAGAGGGTTTTTGAGGGTGAAAGTTTTGGTTTACCCAAAATCCCTAAAGTCCGACTGTCAGCACAACTGCACCTTCCCGCTGCCTCCGCAGCGCCAAAGCCTGCAGCAGCGTCAACTGATGAGACGGCAGGTGTGTCTGACCCTATCTATGCGAGCGTCCTCACCAGACCGCGTCTTGAGCCAGGGGTCAAGGCAGGTTCTGATAGGGAGGCGGTTGTTAGGAGGTGGTTGTGCATCTTGAGCCATTGCCCTGAAGGCTCCGAGCTTGGAAAATTCTTGATGAACTCATCCCAGGACACCTTGCAAATCGTGTCGTCAGCTGTCGGCGGGAAAGCTACGTCCACCTTGCTGAAGCGTGCCCGGTGTGCCGCTAAGCTTGTTGCCCATGCATCCACGCAAGGTACAAAGTTCTTTCCAATAACTTTAGATAAGGTTTTGGACTACATAAAACCCTTGGTGGCTGCCAGAAGACGAAGTGCCATCCACGAGTGTTTTGAGACAATTAATTTTCTTGAGCATGTCCTCGGGGTTCAAGTTGAAGCAAAGATTCTGGAGCACCCGGTGATCCAAGGGATCAAGAGAGAAGCTTCGGGCGCAATCAGGCTGCGGACCCCGTCACGGACCTTGTATGTTGCAGAAATCTTTGCTCTCGAGTGTGAGTTGATCGAGGGTTTTCTCGACCCGATTGACCGGTATGCCCTTGGAGTTTGTCTGTTCCTTGTGTACGCCAGAGCCCGCGTCTCAGACATCCGGAACATTTACAAGATCGAACTTGACACTTCCGGAAACAAGGGATACATCGAGGTCAAGACCTTCGATCACAAAAATGCGCGGATCTCAAATGCCGCCGGCGTGCCTCTGATCCTCGTTGCTCCGATCCAAGGGCTGCATAAGTCTCCGTGGGGTTTGGCATTCATCGCTGCGGGCAAAGAAGTGGGCTTCAACTTCGAGCAGGGGTTTCGCGGGCCCCTCCTGCCTACCCTTGCTGCTGACAACTCCTGGAGCTCTGCGGCAGTCAGCGCTAGTGAGGTGACCATCTGGATGCGCAAGTTGCTCGCCCTTGCGCTCGTACGCGAGCCGGAGGCAGGCTTCAGCTCCCATGGGTTGAAAGCCACGCTTCTCTCTTGGATGACGAAAGCGGGCTATGATAAGATACCGTGCCTCATTTTGGGGCATCATGCGTTGAAGGGCGATCACAAGCCCATTGAGACTTATGGGAGAGATACTCAAGCCCATCCCCTCCGACTCCTCGAGCAGTGCATCGAGCGCGTGAGAAGCGGTGTCTTTTCGCCCGACAGCACACGCTCTGGGATGATGTTGGATGTGCCTGTCCCGCTCGAGCCGGTGATTCCTGCACCGCCTTTGGCCTCTTCGTCAAGCGAACAGGTTGAGAAGCAGGTCGAGCCGCCCCTTGCCGTTCGGGCAGACGCCCCCAGTGTGGAAGGAGGCGAGCCTTGTGACCAAACTGGGCCATCCAGCCCTACAAAGCCTCCTGTGTGCTCCAGTTCCCAATCGAGCTCGTCGAGCAGCTCTTCGTCTGGAAGTGATTCCGAAAACATTGAGTATGAATCCCTTGGTCAGAAGGACGTCCTCGAACGGTTTGCTCCTTGTGCAACCATGGGTGTCGATCTGGAACTTTTCCAGACTCCTACCACTAAATCACTCCACGCCCGTGCCAGAGGTTCTGATGGCCCCCTTTTGTGTGGACGAGCACTGCTTGGAAAGGTTCCCTTCGCCGGTAGAGTGTACAGCAAAACCTGGCTCTGCAAGCAGTGTGTCAAAGCACGTCCCATTCGGGATGCAGGAAGCTCTGCTGCCTTCCTAGACAAAGCTATGAACAAGGATGCTTGAGGAAAACCGGTATCGTGTTCAGACATGTTGCTAGGGCAGTTTGTTCATGTGTGCAAGCTCCCAGTAGCATGGTGCCCCTTTGAACACAGTCGACTGCTGTTCAGCGTGTGCCATTCAAGTGATGGTGCATGTGATCTGAGTATCCATGGGATACTCTCGTAGCCATTTCCTTGAAATGATGAAGTGTAGGAGCTACACATGAATCATGTCACGGTGTTTGCTCTTCATGTTTCATGTGCATGAGTGCTTGTATCGTTTCAGTCTTTTGCAGGTATCTCAGACGTGCTCTATCTGTGTAGAAGGAGCGATCTCGTCATGGCCAGCACCCTTACCGAATCCACCCCTGTCTTTAAGGAACGTGCTGCTGTTGCCGGCCTCACTGCCGAAGATCTTGCTTGCCTTGCGAAGCAAGGGCTTGACACCCTCGCGAAGCTCGCTTTTGCGTGCGGCCAACCTGGCGAGACTCCTTCTGATGACGCCATTAAAGCCTTGATTCGGCCTGCTCCTGCCGCAGGAGTAGAGGATGCCCCCGAGCCCTCTCTCGGTTCAGTGTCTGCGCTTCGCCGTCTTCTTTTCGAGTCACAAACACTGATGATCAGCCAAGTGAAATCCCTGGTCGAAAGCCGCGAGGATCAAGTTAAAGAACTGCCTACCGCCGAGCGGCAGGATCGCATTCGCCGCCAGGCAGCTCGCCTGTCTGGTGTGAGTTTGTCAGGACCCGGAGAATGCAGCTACGCAAGCTATGACCTTTGCATGCAGCTTTTGATGGACAACAGTGTGCGCTATCTCCCTCCGAGCAAGTTCACCACCAGACAAAGTGAACTGCGCATGGAGAAGCCCCGAAAGGAGCTCGAGATCGCCAACTCCAACCTAACCATCAAAGACAAAACCCTTGATTTCAGCTGCGATACGAGCACCGCCCTGAGCCTGCACCATGCGCTTCACCGACGCGCCCTTGCGTTGGATCTTGTAGGGCTTTCGACCTACAGCAAAGTGCTGGCATACAATGAGTTCCTGCTCAATCACCTAGTCGAGGAACCCACTGCAGGCTTCAGGGCCACTACCGTCCAGCAAGTCCTAGAGGCCGACCGTGCTGCCTGGGTCCGCCTTGCTGAGCCTAAAGGTGTGCGTGCAGGCTCCGACGGAATCCTCCCCCTGGATTCTCTTTGGGAACGAGTGCAGCTCGAGCCTCGCGTCGCGTACAAGTTGATGCCTGTTCCAGGTTCTGCCCCCAAGAGCACCACGGCCCTTGATGACCCCGACACCGAGCGTCCCCCCAAGCGTCCCCGCCGGGACAAAGGTAAAGGCAAAGGCCGTACTAAAGGGCAACCTGCTTCCGAACCGGCTAACACTCCAGCCGAGCTGAAAGGCCTTTCCTTTATGACCAAGCGAGGCGGGCGCCGTTGCTGGAACTTCAACATGGCCTGTGGTTGCAAGGCTGCCAAGGTAGGCCAGGACTGTCCTCGTGGTTCCCATACCTGCATGCGCTGCGGTGGCCACCACGGCGCACACGAGTGCCCGAAGAAGGGCTCTTGACGTGAGCCCTGCGAGCTCCCCAACCCTTGTCCCGCGGAGGATCCGCCTACCGCACCGGCCCACAGCCCGCTGGTGCCTGTGCTTCAGCCCGCTGCCAGTGACACTTCGCCACCTGCAGCCTGTTTTCCCCCTGGTGTTCCGTTGTCCCAACCGAAGCCAGTTGCTGAAGCCGCTTGCATATCCTCCTTTTTCGGGGTTGAGGTGTTCGCAGGTACGGGCCGTCTCACCGCCGAGCTTCGTGCCGTGGGTTTCAGGGATAGCATAGGGTTGGACCATGTGCTCCCGCCACGCGCTCCCGCGCCGATGCTCCGCCTCGATCTTTTGCATGATTCATCTGTTCAGCTGCTGTTTGAGCTTTTGGACAAC